CCCCCCCCCCCCCCCATGATCATGCATATATTTATTTGAGAAGGGAGGAAAGCTCTCGATGTAGACCCCACCTAACTTTCTTGAATCAAAAACAACATTTCTAGTTGATCTACGGGAAAATACTTTGTACCGTTGGAAAGATGGATATTTTTTCTTTAAAAAAAACTCCTATATGCACGTAAAATGTATTCTCATTCTGTATGCTGCTGAAATATGCAGAGTTTGTTGGTTTAGCGTGAAAAAGGCGGCACTTCCAGCCAATCATACCACGGGTCTCGGCGCGCGACTGACGTCAACCTCATTAATATTTTTAAAAAAATATGGCAGACTGACTGCGAAAAACTTTGAAACTGAAATGGTGTGTGTTTTTGGAGGAAACGGGAGTTCATGTGCGCGGAAGGAGAAGACATTTTACGTGCATAAAGGAGGTTTATAAAAGAAAAAGTATCCATCTTTCCAACGGTACTAAGCATTTTCCCGTAGATCAACTAGAAATGTTTATATGTGTTCAAGAAGTTAAATTCATTTGTCTTCGCTTAAACATTAATAAAGCGATGTAACGCGTTCGCATTATAAGCGTTGACGAGTATTTAAAGTGTTTAATAGTGGCTTAAACTATTCCAATTAACATGCTATGAAACGAGTTACACGCATTCGGATTCAACCTGATAAAAGAAGTAGCTGAAAGCTTTAGCATTTAACTTGTTAAAGGAACAATTTTTGACGTTCACTAATACACATTTTCAGGTAAATTAATTGCTTTTGTTTACACAATGATCGGGAGATACAACAATTACGGTACGTATACAATTCATGATCCGTATGTACTCGTCGGAGTCCTAGTATCCTCAAAGTTAGCTATTTCACTAGTTTCACCTTAAAGATAGACCATTGACTAGGATTAATATCTATCGTTACATCCGCCTTCAAAACCTGACTATTTTACCGTTAAGCTGCCGCGTGATTCTTTTGATGTACACTAGTTTACTTGTATCGGCCTTCGATCTCGCCACGACATATTCCAGGGATGCAGAGTGTCTAATGTCTTTGGTTTCGAGGATGGCTTTGTAGATATAACCGATCTTGATATTTCCGTTATACCATCTCAACATGTCGCCAACACAAAACATTCAGTAGGAAATCTGCTGCTGGCTTTATGGATTCTTGCCCCATCGCACTGTGGTTTTACCTATATACAGTAACCTCCCCTTAACTTCCGTTGGGATAAGTTTGGCAGTCTGAAGTTCAGGGTTCGAACCGTGTCTAGCCCAGAACACTGTTGTTGATTATATATTGTTTATTTCATCTAATCATTTCTCATAAAAATACCGTATTTTTTTCAGATATCATTTATCAAATATATAGAAAGAATCTAGTTAGTTACAATTTTTGCAGTGGTACGGGGCTCCGTAAGAAGGATTATGGCATGTAAGGATTTATTTATTTATGTTTAAACAGGTGAGCTATTTCTGAAAATTGATCAACGGTATTTAGCGAAGTCTGCATCCACCCTTTCATTACATTTTTTATTACACACATTAATTGTCTTCCTTACGAGTTAATTACGTTTCCAGATACGTCAACAGGCGTCACGTCGTAGATAAACTGTTAACATTACTTAAACATTAATAAAAGATTGATTAATGAGGCCATATCTCATTACTACTTTGGCAGATGGCGGCGTATATCGTTATAAATATTCAACAATAATACGAAAAATATTGAAATCAACTCATTATTGTCAGACCTAAAATAATATCCGTACCTCAAACTTTCAGATTAAGTGTGAAGTGAACAAGGTTTCTTCATGCCTTCATAAATATTCTAATATATACAATGAACTTTATTTTTCGCTCTAATTACAACTGGGGTCAACTAAAGTAATAATTATATGTCATTCCCTCAATAATGATAGACGCTGTTTAGTATACCGTGAAAGTGGAAATTCTCGCGTGCATAAATGTTCGCGTTGGTAATTATTCTGAAAATCTATATATCTGTTCTCTCATATAAGATATGCACATGTGGATATTAAGAAGCTTACTTACTAAAAGCCAAAAAAGCGAGCATTTTCCACACCGCGAATTTTTCCTCTTTTACAGTAACCCCCACCCACCCTCATTTTACAAGTGTAGGTACTATAAGAATATACCCTTGCTCGTGCGACGGTTCCCACTGAACATAACTCAACCTT